ATCCATGCCAAGGATTACTTTCCGGGAGCATACGGGAAGCACAACGAAAGAAGCAACGAACGTCGACTCACAGATTTGCAGCCTTGCGGTGCATCTCCCGATTGGTGTCAAGAGATAACCACCGGCTGTCCGAAGGTTTGGTCCATGCCCCCAAGGAGTCGTGACTTTCCTGAGTTCAGCCACAAGTTCAGCGCTGATAACTGAGTAGTCGGCGCCGGTGTCGACTAGAGCAGTCACTGGATGGTTGTCGACACGAACGGCAATGTCAGCAGAAACGGGTTCGTCAGCGATGTGAGGTGTCGGCTGAAAGGAATCGTCGAAGGTCGGTGGAAGGGTCGGAGGAGGCTGTTTTGACGATAGCTTAACAGCGGTCCCACCCCCGGAGGCCGCTGATTCTAGTTTCCCCGGCGTGGACTTGGGGACCTAGCGGATCGTCCCGCAACAACATCGGCGAAAGTGGAGTATTGATTCGTGGACGTAGAGCGTCGAGGAGACTGAGAGCGTGATTGGCGTCGCTGAAGATTCGGAGACGGTACACTTGCCAAGTATTCTGCGATGGCGCGGGGTCGTTCGCCGTCCCTGGGCCGACGAGCGTCTGGCCGAAATCCAGGTAGGCCCATCTGTCTGTACGAGCACTCCCGGTACAGGTGACCTGGCTCACCACAGTGGTAGCATAGTGGCCGATTGTCGGAAGCGCGCCACACGCTAGATTTACGCAAATCGGGTCGCGGATTCTCATAGTGTGGTGGGCCCGAGAAGTACTGCGGCATCTGCAGTCGTTGGTTTTCATAGCGTGGCCCGCCCGAGAAGTGCTGTGGCGTCTGCAGGCTAGTCGGTCGGGGGAAATAGCTGGCTGCCGGTGCAGGAGTACGTACAGCTTCCGCATACGTTAGCAGAGGAGCTTCGGTTGGAGGTGGCGCTAATGGTCGTACCAGCTGCCGCACCTCTTCACGGACGACGTCTGTCAGAGCAGCCACTTGAGGCTGTGAAGGCACTGCGTGAAGCTTTTGCAGCTCGTCGCGTACAATGCTACGGACTAGCTCAGCAAGGTCTCTCACGCTCGTGACATCGGGTGTTACCAAGGCTGCTGACAGACATGCAAGGTTGTCGGACCGCTCATACTGCGAAGATCGCTGTCTCAGCATTCGCTCCATTGTCGTCGCTTCACGGAGGAATTCTGCCACGGTAGCTGGTGGGTTTCGTACAAGTCCTGCAAACAGCTGCTCCTTGACACCCCGCATCAGAATGCGCACCTTTTTGTCTTCCGTCATTGCAGAATCCGCTCGACGGAACAGACGAGACATCTCCTCAACAAACATGGCCACGCTTTCATTGGGTCGTTGATTGCGAGAATTGAGGAGACGTTCGGCTTGTTCTTTCCGGTCAGCGCTACCATACGTGTTCCGCAGCTGAGTGCAAAACACCAACCAGGTTGTCAGGACGGCCTCGTGATTCTCGAACCAAATACGCGCCGAATCCTCCAGGTAGAAATAGACATACCGCAGTTTCCGGTGCTCGTCCCACTCGTTGGCGACGGCGACTCGATCGTATTGGTCCAGCCAGTCTTCAACGTCTTCGTAGGGCTCCCCATGGAAGGGCTTTGGCGTTCGGGAGGCTGGTAGCCATGGTGCTGGCGGAGTCGCGGACGGTTCAGTCTGGCTTGCAGTTGTCGCATATGCCATGATTCTGGAGCGTTCCGGAAGAGGGCTGAACTGGGGTGGTAGGCCTAGTTGCCGCCGACTGCGTCGAAGGTTGGCTGTTTCTACTAAGGTGTCAATGTTGGGACCGAGATCTTCCTCGTGGTAACAGTGCATAGACTATTACCCAGCAGCTCCACCAGTGTCACGTTACAACGTGACTGTAACCTGCTGATAAGGGCACACAAGGACGTCAAACTGATTCGAACAACGGCAGTACGACTATTGTTTTTCTCTGCACGCGCATCTTTGTCCTCTTCTGAAAAGCGGCACATACAAGCATGCTAGCATCTGTAGAAATAATAGTTTCAGAACTTGTACTAGTGGCAATATGTTGCATAATACGCTCGTCTTATTTCGGGCAAAACACCATCCAAACTCGACTCTTTAACCCTGGTTTCCATTGGTGGCTGTCTTCACTATCGAATAAATATAGCAGACAGGCGCCGTTTGGCTTAGAAACGAGCCCAACAGCACTAGACAAGAGAGCGAGAGCAGAAATCTGCTCGCCTGAGCGCTTAGATGCAATGCCGCCTCCTCTTTCTACGTCCTCCATTTTCTCTACACGTCCTTCCTCTTCTTATATGTTGTTTCACAAGAATATGCAGCAGTATCGCCAGCGCCATTTGATTTTGTTTCGGGGATGCGCGCAAGCACCGCCTCTACCAGCCGCCACTCTCGTCTGCGGGAGCAGCTGAGAAGTGCGCGTTCTCACCCGCAGGGTGGTCGTGGAAACTCCAGCGCCGTTTCCCTATATCCCAGTGTACACTGAAAAACAAGCTGTCAGCACAAACAAGCTTAAAAGGGCCCTCTAAGACTTTTCACGACTTCGTAGTTTTACATGTTTTTCTAGCTGGTTGCGTACACTGACGGCTTAAGAGATAAGAACCGCAAGAATAGCAGCAATAGGGCCACGCAGTGCAAAGTTATTCAGCGTAGAGATATCAAAATAGAATGAAATAGATGCTTACCCTCAACTCGATTTTCGCGGGCTCACCTTACCGCGTTTCCCTCGCCCTCTGACATTAGAAGGCTGCCCAATGAAATGAACTCAAAGCCCTACCATACAGGAAGCTCGCATGACATATTACCTGTTACATTCAGCGTATTAAGGAGGCCGCTGCGGTGGTAACAAACAATGTAGTACTTGAAAAGGGAACGATACGTGCGAAACGAGCCAGCTCGCGAACGCTTCTCCACTTGGCGACAGCTTTCTGTGGCAGCACAGCCAAGGCTACGAAGCCCACGCACGGCCTTTTTACTACGCGTCTGCATGTAGTCCACGAACGCTTATTTTTGTATACTGCATAGCATAATGGAAAATATGAAAAGAAAAGATGTAAATATCATGCTTAAGATTGTTCGCAATATTATTCGAAAACATCACCTGTGCAGGTTTTTCATTTTTTGCTGTTTCTGGTTTTATAATTTTATGGTGCCATTTCACCTTGTCCCTGCCCCGGTAAACAACGATGCCGTCGCTCAGTTGAAGCAAGTTCACATCAAAGCTTGTGAGCGAGCATGAGTGAGTGAGTGAGTGTGTGTTCGTTAGGTGATCTGTATTCATCGAGCAGGGAGCAACGAAGACAGTGGTGTGTCGTGAAATATTTTGTTTCCCGCACATGCGATCATCGAGAATTTGTGTGCGAGTGATATCATCATCGGAAGTCGAACTCTAGTCGCCGCCTTGAAAGTCACACCGGTGAGCTGCCACCTCGGCAGCTCACCAGAAGAAAATTGTGACCAGAAACTGTACGTAAAACCAATGATCTTTTTTCTAAACTGCGTTGTGTATGCGGTCGGTATTTCAGCTGCCTAATATTGTTGATATGCTGACACCGAAGAGTGCGTGGCATAACACCACTCCCGGTGGCGTCTATGGAGTGAGTCGTTCCTTCCGCTTTGCCAGGGTAACAGAAACGTTGATGTATATTACTCTGTTGTCTGTGCAAAAACAGCGTTTTCGGCCAAGTAAAGATTGCGTTTCACCCACTTGGATTTACAAATGTCAGACGCGCGCTTATGACTGATCGGGGCCAAGATTCACATCGTTGCCTTTGCGTCCCCTAAAAAGTAACGTGAGCATCTCCAGAAACTTCTTTTATCTCAAAAAGAAGGAAAACAATAATGCTGACCACGTATGCACTGACATTTAGGAAATGATTTCTTGGCTTCGTGTTGTTCCAATCACCCAGTACATGCTCGGCAGTACTTTTTTTTAAAAATAAATCTCAACACTTTAAAAAAGCTTCTTGTTCTTTTCCTTTAAAAATTAACATTTTTTATTTATTGCCCCTCAAGCAAATGTTAGATTTATTGCATGGTGGTCACGCGAAAAAGTACATGTTGGATGTGCTTGCAAAACTGAAACCGATATCGCATGAAAACGGACAAATTGCTTTACTAACACATGTGCAGAAGCTCCACCCACGTAGCTTTGACTGTGCTGCCACAGAAAGTTGTCGCCGAGTATATAATGTTTTGTAGTTTTACTGATCTTTCTTTTTTCAATGATGTATATACATCAACGCCACTACATTTTTTTTTTCAATTAGTTTCTTCAAATAAGAGCGCCCAAAGCGTCACCGGCGCGTTTTCTCCAGTACATAGTGTTCGGCGCATTCTTTGACCAGCTTTGCAATCCTGAAGCTTGAAAAGTCGGAGGGTGTCACTTTGAGTGAAAAGTTATGCCAATTAAAAAAATAAATCCAATAGTAATCCCTATTTTGATGCAATGCCGTGATAACATTTAACGATATAATTATCCAATCATATGGCGGCAACCTTCTGGTGCCATTTCCGCTCACAATAGTTCTGGCGAGCGCCACTACGAGTTATGCAGTCGGCACCGATGTTTTCAAGCGTTAGAGGGCCCCTTTAAATTAACAAACATCTTTATCAAAAGTAACTACAGTCATAAAACACTGTGCATGCATAAACTTCTTTTAGATGGCATCAAAGTTGATCGAGTAAGTAAGACTCCTGCAAAATAGATAGCCAGAATCGAGGGTGCAGCACTTCTTAAACAGCAGGATGCTGCATGTTGACATGAAGCATGTGTAACGAGGTCCAGCATGTCCGGATACTACTTCATTCTGGTGCACTGAAAAGTTTCTCCCCGTCAGATATGTTTGTCCTAACGAAAACTACTGTTGCGTGACCCGCGCATGCACCCCAGTCTTTTTGGCGAACGACTGCGGCCTCAGCTGACTCTCTCGCAAAGCGTGACATTTACGACTGCACGGCTGGCATCAATTCTGTGCCGCTGTGGTACGGAATACTCCATGTGCAGTTGGGTTTCACCTTGTGATCCAGTGCCCCGGAGAGCAAATTGCGGAGCGCCAAATGCTGCGCTACCGAGCGCAAGCACAGCGTCGACAGCAGACGAAAGCAGACGCAGGCGGCAGTGTACTTGCGGGATGGCCCGTAGTGGACTGGATTGCAGACGATGGCAAAGAAGTAGGCGGCGGCCGCTGCCACCACCTTAACCACGGCCGTGGCAGACATGGTCTCGGGCTGCACGGACGTCGAGAGCAGCTCAGCCACTGCGTCGGCGTACATCAGGTCGGAGGACGCCTGCATCTGCTCGGCCAGCACTTGGGCAAACTTGCAGACGGTGCTGCTCACACGCATGCCCACCTGGAGCAAGCATCACACAAGTGGCCAAATTTTTTAGCTATTTCCAGGTACTTTCAAAGGGATTATTACAGGTGTGGGTGTTTATGCATACATGAAATACAAATGCAAAAAGAATACAGTTAAGGCAGGTCACCACCTTCAAAGAAAAGTTTTAAAGTTACTGTCCAAAAGTTATATTAATAGTTTTGGCTTGTCAGGCATAGGTAAACTTAAGGTTTACAATAATTAAACTGCTAAAATTAAAAAAAAAATAAATTTCATAAAAATTAAAATATGCCAAAATATGCGTCTTTCACCAACAGTCATAACTGCAAAATGATTGGTGCGATTCAAATGCGACTTGGCAAGTATGTAGTGAGGACACCACCCTGTGCATCTAACCACATCTCTCAGCTATGGCACCTTATCGCAAAAAGACTGAAAAAGTTGATATTTGGGAATGTCGTTTTTCACACAAGTGGCCAGTGTACAAAAAGTTACGACTCGTTTTCAATAATTCTTTGCTTGAATGCACAGTTCTACATATAAATAAATAGTAAGAAAACCTTCATGGGAAAATATTCATTAGAAAGTTATCACTGTTTGCGTGAGTATAGGATACAAAAACTCGAGCTTTGAAAAAAATAGGTTTAAAAATTTGAATTGAATATTCGCATTATAGAAAAATGGTCAATAGGTCTCAAATTCACCACAATCATAGCTTCCAACGTACTTTGAAAGGTCACCATCTCCTTTTGAGTGAGCTGAAGCATATACTTGTTGTCTAGCTTGTGTTCCAGCTGACACTCAGTCACGTGCGTCAAAGCAGGTCCAGGCTTGATATATTAATTGTATAAATTGCATCGATGTTTCTTTTTTATCCTATACTTTGCCATATTTCCCGCAGTACTAAAACTTTTTCTCCTAAAGGCCACAGCTAAGTCCAAGAGGTGACGATAGTGTATCAAAAAGCACAGATAGCCGTGTAAGAATGAGCGCAACCACAGAGTGCCGTATATGTGCAGTAAAGATTTTAAAATAACAACATCATGTCCCACAATGTTTAGAATGTACCTACGGATTATGTAATATGCCTAAAGAAACACACTAATCACGATAGTGCAGGCGTTATGCAATCAGAAGCCTTCAGTTTCGGTTTCGAGTGCGTCTGAGGGGGTGGGGGGGGAGGGGGACTGGAAAGATGATCATAACTGTCGAACAGCTTGGGATACATTCATCATTTTTCATCCTAAATACTCTTGAATAGTCCATGATTGCGAAAATGTTAATTTCAAAAAGTATTTTTTTTTTTTAAATTCGGTTTTTGAAGGTCTGGACAAAAAAACCTACCTTAACATGAAAAAACAAAAGTTACACATTTAAACAAAAACTGACAATAGTTGTACAATGCAAATCATTCTATCAAGCACATAATAGCAACACTAAAAAAAAAAAAAAGAAACATTGTCATACACCCGCATCAGACAGCTCCTTCCAAGAGCTCTGTGAACAGTTCTATTGCAGGTTGAGCGACTATAAATTCATTAAACGAATTTCAGTCTCTAAATGCTTGTCGAAAAAATGAGACGCAAAATACACTGGTGGCATATTAAAATTCCCTTAACGTGAGTATGTTTTTCTCGTGTTTCTCAGGATGAGCCATATGCGACAAAATCATTGCAACGGGAAACAAATTAAGGCAGTTTGGAGAATATTCAGACGAGTATTAAAGTATTCCATTTAGCTGCCATTGAAACTTAAATTATCGAAAACATTTCAAAATGACCAAATGGCCTACAGTAAGTCTGCATACCCTTTCCTGCCCTCCCCCTTCCTCACTGTAAGGGTGGTTTCACTAAAGACGAGGAGTGATATTCCGTGAATACACGTTTACAAAAAAAGCTGAAATGCCACAAAGCTCGACTTCAAAATCAATGAACAAGGACGAGGACGAAAAAAAAAGAAAGAAAAAACAGCTACGACACACAGGCGCTAACTTTCAACACTTCATTAAAGCATGGGGTATGGAATAGATAAGGGCACACATGACATGACACTGATGCAGGAAGCACTAAATCGGACAGCATAAATGACTTCGCAGGTCTCTCTATACAACAGAGTGATCAACAGCTAAGCCACACATTCATCTATTAAACGATCCATCTTTTCTGCCTCGATTGTTTCCCGCAAAAGTTTACTTTTGCTTTTTGTTACAATGGTGCATTTCCTAAACATTGGTAAGCACTTAAACGTGATCTACGTTTCAGTCAGCACTGCAAACACCAAGATCCCCACTGCCATCACACTTTCTGCCGTAAACATCCAAGAACCCTCCGCATCTCTCCCAAACATTTATTGATCATGTCATACCAACATGCCCAAACCACCAATATCGCAGATTTCAAGGGCAAAATGAACATTTTACCCTCACATAAATTTATTCCTTAACTACTTGTTAAACAGGCATAGCACATTTTAAGACATAACATATTTGACAGTTCATCAATTGCATTCTAATGGAAGTTGCTTCCACATCTTTTGAAGAATGACGTTTGCACATGCCTTGTTTTTATTTTTAAAAAAATACAGCGTAGATTGGTAGGGTCATGACAAATATGCTAGTCTTTCTATATAATGTCATGTATGATATTCAAATTTTATTCAAAGTTATTTGACCAAGTCACTATTTGCTTAGAATTCACCTCAAACATAAGATTTACAATTCGCACAAGTCTAGAAGTAAGGTCAACCGAGCTTTGGTAAATACCTGTGAGATGCACTAGAGAGATGAAAGAGGAGGGGCCACAAAGAAAATTAACAGAGAGCAGAGCAATGGGAAAAAATGAATACAAAGCAGCCCAGGTATCCCTTTTTGTGAAATAAAAAAATAAATGTATGTCTCACAGGCATGCAATATAAGGAAGCGTCGTCTCTGCACCAGAGAAGCCTTTGCTCTGGCCGCGTGCGATGCGTTCCACGCGCGCACTTTTGCACCGAACGGTTGCCCACATCAAGTACACAGTACCACTGTTTGGCTTGCCGATTTTTTTGTCCGGAAAATAGTTGCTTTATCGTCAAATGCTATGATCGGGCATGCAACCTCAATCCTACAGTGTTCCACAATTGCAGATACAGTAAACTTTTGTTAACATGAACTATGTTAAGACGCATTCTTGCCTAAAACGAACAAAACGGGAGTGTTTGTTTGGTTTCCCACAGACTCAATGCAAAAGAAATCTGCTGGAGATGACCCGCGTAACTGGCCTCTTCTGTTGCAGTGACTGACTATGATGGAGATTCTGCACAACAAACATTATAGTCTTAATTCAAGCGAACAAGAGAAAGAAAGAGAAAAAAAAACACTCTTTCCGATTCAAAAACTCAAGCAGATCGAAAGGAAATTGTGACATGAAAAGAGAAAGCAAGATAAGTGGAAAAGAAAGGTCAGCACATGAAGCTGGTATCTACCTTGCCCCTAGCCTGTATGTGGAGAAAGGGCCGGCTTTATCAGTGAAAAAATCAACGAAAATCGTTCGTCCTTCTGTATTCTCTTTGCATTCATCAGTTTCCCAACAGGAGTGTTGTAGAAACAGAAGATTACAAGAGCTTGGCTAGAGAAGAAAATGCAAGGGACAGGTGGGAGGGCAAAAAAAAGCTAGATGAAAGTGAGAATGGGAACAAAGATTGTTTATACCTTATTATCACATTCAATGGAAACCACATATGAGGCTCTGGCACTCCCATCAGAGGAGTCAGATACATTGTCATCGCCGTCACACGATGAAAACTGAGCACATGTTGTGGTTGGTTTGTGTTGTTTTACACAGGCCCTCTGTGCGTTGTATCTCTTCCCAGTGATATTCAGCTAATAGTGGGGTGCCATTTTCATTATGAAGGTGCACAACAAAACAAGGTCATTTTTCACACTGAATATTTCATGTCTTTTTTTTTGGTGTGCCCGAGGCTTGTGATCGTGAGTAGCGTAAACGGTGATCTGAAGCTGCACGTCGTTCAGGAAAAGTTACTGCGGGCTGAAAGTAATAACGTTGTTTCTCTCTGTCTCTGAAAATAAGAGAATATCCGAACCTCAAAAAAAAAAAAAGAAAGCTTGCCGATTTTCACAGGTAACTTGGTGTATGAAACGGAGGTGTATCCAAAAGTGATAGCAAAGCCCGTAAAACAGCCTCTCAAAAGAGGAGCAGTCAGAAGAATAAATTTTTCATTTTTTTGAAGGAAAATTGTGCTTATCTCTCCCTTTTTATAATTGTCAAAACAGGGCCGTGCTACCGTTTTATTGTTGTAATGTGGTAGCAATTTATTCACGACCATATTTATTATAAACTCGCATTATCGAGTACTCGTTACATTAGTCTAAATATGCTGCTCAAAAGCATAGTTTTTATCAAGCTGAGCCAAATAAAAGTATTTTCTTGTTCCTTTCCTCCCTATTATAAGTATACTTCATTCAGTGTATTCACGCAACACATTTGGGCATACTTGGCAAGTTAGCATTTGGTTTTGGGGAGCACTTCTGATAAGACAAACTCCAGATAAAATGCACAAATCATTTTGGTCCCTTGGAGTTCATCTTAAAGGGCCACTAAACCAACTCCAGTATTTTTCCAAACATTTCAAGTAAACGCATGCATCGTGTGCAGAATACCGTCACGATCAACGATTCTACATGATCAACAAGCTGCCAGCAAGCCACAAATTTTTGGCCTCCCCGCGACGCGCCCTTTAAATATCCACACTAGTCACAAATATGCTGCGGTTGGTCAAGCAAGAACCTGTGACTTCCGGTTAGTGCTGCTTGCTCTGAATCATGTTGCCCGGGCAGATGCGTACAAGTCCATCGTGTTGGCGACCCTTTGAAGGCGTTCACGCAATGCAGAGTACTGGCACAATTCGTATTAGCACAAGCCGGCAAGGCAGCTGCAGTTCGCCAACAAACACACAGTTGATGGAGTCGGCGAAGGGACGAAGTCGCGGCAACCAAAAGTAAATGCCGTTTCAAGCAC